TCCAGTTATTTAACACAATCTCCACTTCATCAATGAAATCCTCAGAAATCATCATCATTAACATCATCATCATCATGATTATTATCATCAATAAAATCATCATCAATAACAGCATCATCATCAACATCTTTCACATCAATCAAGATCATCAACATAATCACCAGTAACAACATTATCAATCAACAACATCAACATCAGCATCATCACCAACACCATCATAATCATCGGCATTAATATAATTTTCAGCATCAACATAGTCAATCTACAACATAAGCATCATCGTCATTATCATCAATCAACAACATCATAATCATCATCAACACCAGCATCAAGATCATTAATCAACAACATGATTATCATCAACATCATCATCAGCATCATCATCATCAATCCCCAACATTATCATCTCAATCATTAGCATCATTATCATCATCAATCAACACATTATGTGTCATAATCACCATCAAGATCATCAATCAACATCAGCATCAAGATTATTACTCAACCTCATCAACTACATCAGCAGCATCAACACCATCATCATCAATATCATCTTCAACATCGGCATCAACATCATCAATCAACATCATTATCACCACTAACAACATTATCATCATTACCTTTTTCATCCTTCATCATCAACAAGCAGGTAATACTGTAAATTATTAGACTTTTTCTCCTGCTCTGCTGAGTGTTCTCTTGCACGCAGGTTAGAAACTTTGAAAAAAACATGACAATAACTGTTCATTTGTCACAAAAGATAGTTTTAAGATGTTGCAAGCAAAGCAAAGCTTCATCTAAACAGTGAGTAAGAATAATGAGGCTACTTTGAAACCTGCTGTTAAAGTTTTCCGAGCAGCAGGGCTCCATGCTGATAAGTCGTGCTGGCCCATGCCTGCAGAATCGGGCTTTCCCCTTTCCCGTTATCTGTTCGTGGGAGCTGAACATCAGTTATAAAGCAAGAGTAGTAAATACACATACAAAACAACTTTTTTAACATGTTCAAGTTTTAAAATGTTCAACTTTTTTAACTTTTTAAGCTATTTTCTATTTCTAGACTGTTTTACAGTAACTGTTCTTTCATATTATTTATTCCGCTTAGGAAATGTTCTTGCATGTAAATTCTAATGTATTTAAACAAATCAGCATTACTTTTAGTTTTACATTATAATACACATTTCCTAAACATTTGCTTCCTCTAAAAACCTTATTTGATTGAGTTTCATTTCTTTTGCCATTTTAAAATGTTCCTGGTTTTATGCAGATAAGACGTTGGGAGTGATACTTTTCACCCCCATATCCTGCTATCATCTACCCCACTGCCCCATCTTATTTCGCAGTACATTATATAAATATTTGGTTACAGTTAGATGGTCAACATATAATTCTTTTGTACTTTCCCAATGATAATCGGCTGTTTTGTTGTTGTTCTAAAAAACCTTAAACATTTCTGTTCCCTTTTAGATTTTTGTGTTTGCAATAGATGCTAATATGGTGATGCATTATGTTGTGTGCTGATAGACCAGGCAGTGTTTTCTCCTCTTGTTGATCCTGCCTGTCACTTCAGATGAAAGTCCATAAGCTTTGCATATGTTTTTTAGCGTTTTTTTAACTGTGATGAATCTAAACACTTGAGGTATTATCCTTTCTTTAATTGCTTTACATTTAGCATGATGTGCTTTAATGAGATATTTTGAACTACTACATACTGAAGTAAAGGTTTGTTTGTTTCTCTATTTAATTGTTTTTTTATTTAATAATTTTGGTAGTAGTCATTAAACTGTTTTAAAGAAAATGTGTTTCATCACAAATTTTTCAGGATTTAGTTTTTGAGAGTAATTACTTTTTTCACGCAGGATCATCAGGTTGATATGGATAGCATTATTTCCTCGTAAAGCATTATTCAAAGAGGGATTTTTGTATCTTTATCTGATGAAATTGGTTTTATAATCTGAAACATATAAGTGTGAAAAAATCTTGTTTTTACTAGATTAAATTGGCTTGAGTTTGTTTATTTAGATTGTAGCTAACGTAGCCTCCCACATAACGTCAAAATGCCTCTATAATTTGCCACAGAGAATGTCAAATAAGTGTGTTGTTCATCGGAGAGATGAAAAAGATCAAGCTTTAGAAAACCTTTCAAAGGTGTCAGACAATTCAGAGGATTATCTGTCTGTGCTGGAAATAGAAAAAGGTCAGTGAGCTGCATAAGCACAAATTTAATAAGGATGCAAGATCTGGAAACTCTGGATTAGAACAAGAAACATAATGACTGCCTCTCATCCATCCCCAAACGTTTGGCTGCTATACAATGTCCTGTTTTATTTCCTTTAAATAAATAAAAAAGATAAAATGATCAGTAAAATGATCTGTAGTAGGAGTGTGTTGTTTTTTATTGTAGAGGGCAATATCGCCCTCCTTTGGTAGGAGAATGGTAGTGCACCAAGAAAGAGCTGAACGTGAAATGATGGTTTGATTGTCATATAAAGGTCACTGTGATATATCACGACTTAAAGGTGAAGTGTCTGAGAGAGGAAAAACCTGTTTGTAACAGATTCTGTATTCATCTCATCTTTATATATACAGATATGCCCTAGAGAAGGAAAAAAAAGGTAATTTATCCAATGCAATTCAAAAATACTTCATTGATACATATGGAAAATTTACTTTTATTAGTTAAGATTCTAGAGGAGGTCCTAGAGCAGAACTGGTCTTAGCAATTATCTTCTTGATTTTTTATGATACTGTAAAATAAATTTGTGTTGAATATAAACACAATCCAGGAAAATAACGTAAAAAATATATATATATATTTCTGATAAGAGATCAAAATTATTTAGAATAAAAAGGGTAAACAATAGCAAGTGCAACACAAAAAAAAAATCTAAAGGAATGCAGCCAAAGATTTTGGTCAATAAAGTGTGCACTTATGCCAGGAAGTAATTCATCAGCTGAACTATTTAGAACAAGAGAACATTGCAACAAGAAACAGAAGCTTTGATGCAGGAGAAAATTCACTCAATCAGAGTACAAATTTTTATCTTTGCCTTTCTGGGTAAAGAGTATATATATATATATATATATATATATATATATATATATATTTTTTTTTATTTTTTTTATATTGTTTTCTCAACAACACAGTAAAGGACCTAAGCTTCCTTAGGAAGCACAGTCTGCTCTTTCCCTAAAAAGAGCTAAAAAGAGGAATTTATACTCTTCCACATGTTTCTCTCTGTAATTTACAATCCTCTCCCCTTGTTTTTTTCACAGGATTAAACGATTGTTTCCGCACAGGGCCACAAAGCGGCCCACGAACTTCCTGTACTCATCTCTTGTGCTCTCTGATGCATCCAATGACTGCAGAGTCATCCAAATATTTCAGGACTGTCATGCACTGGCAGTCAGAGGTGCACAAAGATAAAGAAATGGTGAGAGTACTTTCCCCTGTGGTGCTTCTTTGCTGCTGACAACTTGATTAGACAGTTGACCCTTCAGTCTCACAAACTATTGTCTGTCTGTCAGGTAGTCTTTGATCGGGGCGATTGTTGATGCCTCCACCCAAGTTTTCTGGGGTTTCTGACAATGTAAGTCAGAAAAAAAGGGAAAATATTAAATGCACAAGAAAAAATCTAACATAATATTCATGCATGTGTATGACGGCATGTTCATCTCCAGCTCCAAGAATATAAACAAACTAAAGGAGGTCCTGATAACTGTTTGTTTGCCCGATTTAGTAGACCAACTGTGTCAGGACCTTTATGATGTGGAAATAGTTCTATAGCTACTGAGGACTGTGTGTTGAGTTTATTTGTTATTTTTAACACATTCATTTCTTTAACATTCAGTTTTATTAAATTATTTTGATCGATCAGTACTTTTGTCATTAACTGCAATTTTTAAAGTAACAGTAATAAAGTTTTCTTGGCTTAAAAAGAATCAAAATCCCAAAACAAAACAAAAAATTTTGCAGGTATTAAAATCTTACATTGTTTTTGGTCAATTTTGTTGGAAAAATAAAATAAAATGTACATGTCACAGTATCAAGTCATTTTAAATAGAACGATTCTTAAGAAAAGGTGAGCAAACTTTTGCTTCCAATGAGTCTTTCTCTTTTTGAATAATAAAAAAGAAATACTCGTTTATCCCTCAAATGAGCCAAAAAAATAATAATAATTAAATCCCAAACTTAAGGAGGCATTTACATCAGAACAAGGAAGACAGAAATTTTAATATTGAACAACATCTGTACCTGACAGTACAGATGTGATCTAGGGCCAGTGAGTAATACTTCTGGAGTGTAATGTAGTTTTTAAACTGTAGTTTTATTATTATGTTTTAATCACTTTAATGTGAGTAACATAAAATGGTCAAATTTACTGTCTTAAATCAAAGAAAAGGCACAAGAAATAATAATGAGACAATCTCTTATTCATTCTTTTTTATTAAACACTTAATCCTTTCTGTACATTAAAACCATGTAATGAAACAGTCTGGAGCTCTAAGCTTATTTTGTCTGGAAACATTTTTCTTCTGGTATCAGAAGATCACAAACACAAGTGTCTCGCCATAGAAACAAGACTCCCTTTATTGAGAAGTTAACGCTGACAACTAAAACTAATAACAATTACGATGTGAAAGACAGTAAGTTGGTTTCAATCACATTGCTGTTATAAAGGAAGAACATAAAATTAGCCTTTCTCACATAGCAGGTTCAGTGCATGTAAAGGTGCACCCTTATTGTTCATTAGTAGGTAATAAGAATCTACTTTGAATTAAGAATCGGGGCAAAAAAAAAAATTCACAAACGCTTTACACACAAGGCAAAAAAATATCTATAATTTTAAGAAAGAAAAATGAAAATAGTGTCTAGATGTGCACGTTTTAGTGGCTTACAGCTGTGAATGCAGCAATACATAATTTAATAAAGATTTTAAGGTTGATGAATATAAATAGTCCAATTTTTGTATTTACAAAAAAATTATTTCTCTTCTTGTACTTCAAACAAATGCTCTACTGTACTTTATTCTGTTCTCACACTGAATCTTATAAAATATATTGAATGTTGCAGTTTATTTGAACAAACTGGAGCAGGAACTGTGGCATTTTGTGCATTTCTGCTGTGTGACAAAGGCCAGTGATTGTCAGTGGAAATTAAAATGCATTAAATTGAGAAATCAGGTGATAACCAACCATAAGTAGCAGCTGAATAATGTCTTAAGGCAAAAAGTTCTAGATGAAACAGTAATAGAAGCTGCTTTAAGTCAACACCGCATCAAAATTTCCCCTAAAACCCTTATCAAACATTAAAGCACTGCATGTTTCTATTTCCTAAAAACCCAGCAACGATTGGCATCGCCTTTTGTCCCCTTTGCAAGCATTCCGTACCAAAATCTAACAAACCTGGTCCAACGTATTTTCAAAAGCCTTTTACCAGATTACTTTATAGAAAAAATAAAAACATACTCTTGCTGTATTTAGATGTTAAACAACACAGACTAGTGCTATCTCTGCAACAGGCAAACCAAAATCCTTTGTCAGTTTGCTCCTTGGTTGAAGAGAAATGGTTATCCATTTTCCTCAATGTTCATTGGCTGTCTGGAAAGACTTAATCGTTAATTCGATACAAAATTAATGAGCTAAAGAACATCAAACACTGAAACAATGAGTTGTGAAAAAGAGCTTTGGATTCAAACATAGAGCTACATATGAACATATTTACAGCATCAACTTCTTCCTAACAGAAACATCTAAAAAGCAAACAACAAAACAGATACGTTTGAAGGCAGTTCAGACAATAATTGCACAGTTTAGTGATAGTAGAGGCCTTAAAATCAGACTTATCTGAAATATTAGGTCATAATGTTTTAAAGTCATAGTCTAAGTATCCAATTATCTATACAGGGAGTGTGGTTAAGGTTAAGCAAACATTTAAACAGGTGTTACCAGAGATTATCGCTATACTGCATGAACTATGAGAAACACTTAGCTACACTTGACGTCTTATTTAGTAAATATTATCATATTATGTTACCATTGGCATCTAAACACATTTTGGCACAGTCTAAATACATCCAGTAAAATGTTGATGCTGTGGAGGCTGAAAGGATCCTGATGCCACTACAGCCCAAAGAGGCTTCCCTGTTAAAGTCCTTTCAAGTAACCTAGGAAAACTTCTGGGTATTTCTTAACTAGATAAAGATTGAAGAAATATTTAGAAGTAGTGTTCTAAAGTTGAACGGGAAGCATATTGGTAAGATAAAGTCTCTTTAGTTCTGGTGCAATCCTAAATCACATTACAATCATCTTCAACAGGTGAACATATGGTGTAAATACAAATGCCATTATTATTATTATCTTGCAATACTTTCTAAAAGTTTTTTTGTAAAAACCCATAACATCATTATGTTTTATTGAGATTTTATGCAATAAACCGCCTCATAAAAGCATAAAAAGAACAGCAAAGACTCCCGTTCATAAGAAAGCAAACAGGTTTGTGGTAACTCTGGAGGAGCTGCAGAGATCCACATGTGAGGTGAGGTAATCTATTGACAGGATAACTGTTAATCAGGGACCCACAAATCTGGACTGTACTGTATGTACAAGCGACAGAACAAACATTTTGGAAAGGGCAATAATCATATGAAAGTGGAATCCAACTGTTTTACCTAAATGGAAAAATAAATATATGAAAAAAAGATAAAACGACGGTAACACCATGGTGTGGAGGTGTTTTTCTTCAGCAGATGGGTGGAAAGCTTTTAGACTTCTTTAAAAGCTGGTTTGAGTTAAAAATGGGGCAACACAGGAAGACAACCTGTTAGAAGCTACAAAAGACTTAAGACTGAACTGGAGGTTTACCTTCCAGCGAGGTGAACCTAAACACAGACCGAGCTAAAATTGTATGGCTTAGATTAAGGTATGGTAATAAACTAGAATTACCAGATTCTAATCCAGTTGGCAGTCTTTGGAAGCTGCTGTTTATAGATGTTTCAAATTAAATATGTCTGAGCTTGATTGGCTGACAAATTGAAAATGGGGCCAAACATCTCATTGCCAGATAAGAAAAGCTGGTAGAAAGACAGGCTAAAGGACTTGCAGCTCTTACTGTAGCACAGGTCCAACAATGTTTTGACTGAATAGTGCTGCAAGAAAACGTTTTTTACATTTTCTTTTTAAAAAAAAATTAAACCACATATTCTTTTCACTTTACAACTGTGCAATACTGTGATGGTCTATCACATTAAACCCCTAAAATGTATAAAACGCAGGGTTCAGATGTAAAAATACTTTAGTAATGAACTATTTAACCAACACTCCTCAGGGTTATGAATCTGCATTTATACTTCTTAATCGAATCATTCAAGGTTTTATTACTTTTACTAGTAATAAAAGATCAAACTATAATGTTTAGGATACATTGAATTATTTTTTTTTATAGAAAGCTTAGCCTATAAGGACAAATGTTAGAAATAATTTGGACAAATAAGATTTTTTGGTGTAGTAAATAAACACAATAGGGGTTTATGTTTGTTTTGGTAATTCAAACAGTACTAATAAATCCCAAATAAACATATATATAAACATAGGCTCTCAGGGGCAACCAACAATAACCTGATGGAGCTGTGCTATTCAAATCAAATAAATGTTATGAATAAAATTTGAGTAGTTAACTTGGTGGGTAGTAGATCTAATAAACAACACTTGTGAAAACGACCAGCTGTTTCTAAGCTGATGTAAAGAAATGTAAGCCAGCCTCTGCAGAACCTCAGTCTCTACTCTAGATTTTGACACAGCAAAAGCAGGCATTTAACTAATATATCATTTAAAATTATGTTTCTTTAAAAATAACATATGCACAAATAAACCCTAGAAACAAAAACCAACAGGTGGCAGGTAGAATGTGCTTTTTCTGTAATTTTCAGTAGAGGGCAGTGTTGAACAGCAGGATATGCCTGCAGCTGAAATCTAGCAGGGGTAAAGGTTATGGAGGATATTCTTGAAAAGTTTATTCCCATTGAAACTTCTACTCTGTTTCCCTTATGATTGTTTATAACCACGCTGCGATGAAAGGCTTTGTATGAAGACCTGTAACATTCAAATTCTGTCAGAACCAGAAATAAAAAACAGAAATTCAGTTTCTTCATTTGTTTTTCCTTTTTTTTTCTCCCCACTTTATATCTGGAACAGACCTTTGAGTTTGGTGAACAGGGTTCCTACAGTTTCCCTTCTTAAGATATAATAGGTATCTGTAGGTTGAACTGTTTATTAAAATCCCCATCCAAGCAGAACTTTGTTGCAACTTATCCCCGTTTGGTTTGGAGAAGTTTGATGTTCTCGTCTAATTCCTCTGCTTTAGTTTCATACAGGTTTGTTTCGGCAGCACTCGTCAGACCTGCTCCTCTTCCATCACCTCCATGACGATGGTCCTAGGGCCGGTGAGGATCAGGTTGCTGACGGTCCGGTAGTCGTGGGAGAGGACGTTTAGGCCGTTCACAGATACCACAAACTGACACACCTGGAGGTGGATGAAGAGACACTTAAAGCAGGTTTTAGGTTATGGTTCATTTAAAATGACAATGAGGTAAACTAATTTAGGACTCATATCATAAGAACATTTTTAACAGTAGTGACCAAATTATGCTTTAGAGAGGGAAGACATAAACTGAGATAAAAGGCTGTGGTGGTAATGCTTTGCTGGAGAAAAAGGAGGGTTAGTTTCATTCTGTCAGATTATTAGATCATATTCTAGCCTGTAGCATTTATTTTTGTTTATGGTTTTGTGTAAAAACATGTGTTATTAGTCAGTGCAGCCAGTGAAAGCATCCTACATTTAGATGACATCATCAGAGTAATCCTTAGTGACACAACACTTCTTTTAAAGCCACAGAGATCTTGTTGCATGGATAGTAACCAGCTGAGCATCGAGCAGAGCAAACCTTTCAGTGAGCAGGCATATAGAGTCATTACTGTTATCAGCAATGAAGTTCTAAGAACATGACAGACACACCCAAACCACGCTGCTTATACCTGGGACTTATCATGATATTACCAAAGCTCCAACAAAGCAGTGACTGATAGCAAGATGACTTCATGCATTTAAAAAACAGCTTAGATAATGCTCTGTGTTTGTAAGTATAGCTTTAAAACATATAAATATCAATTACATACAAAGAGAGAGATAAAAACCTTGTTATTATGTCCTCCTGTATAAAAGCAGAGCCTTAAGCTACACTGCTGACAGTCCGAAATGTCCGAGAAGCTTTTAACAAATTAAACAGACAAATCACACCTTTCTATGGACCGTAAGCTTTTTCCCTGTGATAGATCTTATATACTAGATGTGTGTGATTGTTTTTCCTTCTGTGTGAGTCGGTAACTGATTTATATTTCAAATATCTGGTTTTCAAAATGGAATTTTTTTTCCCAAATGGATGCATTAAGTATCTTATGTTGTGCAAAACCTCAGGTCTAAGACTCTTGTAGAAGGGCAATGGGACGGAATGACCGGTATACCTGAGAGGGAAGAGAGCGTATTGGTGCTGGGTTTTTCCTCAAGGTTCAGTTGGCCTATGAAAACATATTAAAGAAAACTACTTTCTTGTTTCTCCTGAAGGAACTGAGTGCAGAAAAGAAACCACTCAGAAGAGACAGGAAGATGATATCTCAGCGCAGGCGCTGGTTCATCTACTTGGTCCAGTTGCCTTTTTGAGCCTGGATGGTTCGCTTAGCATTTCTAAGCAGCTTTAAAAAAAAAAATAAAAAACAGCCAAAAATGGATGAAAAACTGCATCCTATGAAGCATGCTAAAACAGTCTCTTCTACTGCTGTTTCCTCCCAACCTGTTTAACTATCTCTAAACACATTCCTCTTGGACTCTCCCCCTGCTGATGTTTTTTTTTTTTTTTCCTAGCTCTGGGATTATTAGCGTTGGCAGGGGCCCAGCTTGACTTTACAGCTCATTGTAGCAACAGTTAAAAATCAGTTTTACACGTTGAAGGAAAAGCTAACCATTCACAACAGAGCTAATCAGGGCATAGAGGAACTGAGAAAAAAGAGTCCGTGAGCAAAAATAAATAAATGCTCCCCTACAAACCAGCAGGAGATCTTAGTTACTGGAGAGGAAGGAAGTTTAGACCAGTTTTAATTTTATTTTGGGCCAAAACTTCAGCATGTAGACAGATAAAATGAAGGGATATCTGTGACTCCACAGATGGATGTTATATCAAGTTTCAATTCTTAAGACTGTGGTGTTTTTTTTAACCTGGTATGTAAACTAAAGTGCACAAGCTGTGTTTTTTACTGAGAGATACAAAAGCAAACCTCTGCGGGTAGCTGGGATTTTGCAGAAGGTTTCCTGGAAACCTTGAAGTGACAACAGGAATCCAGGGGAGTCTCAACAAGAGTGTTTACCAAAATGTCAAACTCTAACCTTAGCAGGCAGCCAGATCCACATTGTCCTCGCAATGCAGTTTAAGAAAGACAATCTGTATTTGATGTGACAGTTATTACACTGGGGTTAAAATGTTTTCACATTTTGCACTAAAATGACTGCAGCAGTCTTGTACACATTTACTAGCAGGGTGTACAGTTCAGTACACGCTGAAATACCTGATGAACCAGACTGACATGACTTGGAAGACCCAGTGGTGGGTGATTAACCTGACATAAGAAAATCCTGTTAATGATTTTACAACCTGCAGCCATAGATCAGTTCTTTCTATTAACCTCCTTCCTGAGCTGTAATGCCATCACTTTACAAGTTTCAAAAATCCTTCCCTGAATTGGACAAATCATTACACATCACTGAGCTTGCGGTGCAAACAAATAAACCTTTGGGGCTGTTGCACACAAGCAGAGTTATCTGTCAGTGTAGATGCAGTGGAGAGATTTACTTCTTATGGTCTGATCTTTTGAGACAGATTGTATGGAAGCTAATTTCTGCCACACATAAAAGAACAAAATGGGATAGTCAACATGATAAATGCCATTTTAAATCAATACGCTAAGTTTCAAAGTCACTGTTCTAAGATGAAAAACAAGTGTTTACTCAAAATAATAATGCTTACTTAAAGTTATGAGAATTTCAAGTAAACATTTATCTTTAAGTTATGAGGATTTCAAGTAAACATTTATCTTTAAGTTATGAGGATTTTAAGGACACACTTATCTGGTAAAAAAATTAAGATTAAAAGTCAAGACTACATGTTTTAAAGCCAATATTTGCCACACAAAGTAAACATTTTGACTTTATAAGTAAAAATATTGATTCCAAAAAAACCTTATTTATAATAGTAGACTAAAAGTCAGGATATCCAGTTTCATAATAATCAGTAATTAAGTAATACATCTGAATTATAAAGTTGTATTTTTGAAATCTTAAACTGTCATTATGGGTTTAAAAGCTAAACAATAACATGCAATATTAGTCTTCCATTTCAAAAGGAAGGTTCAAAATTTACAATTCACAACTATGAGACTCAAAAGCAGAGTCATGATAATGAATCAATATTATAAATTAAAGAGAAAACTCTTATTAACCTTGATTTACCAATTCAAAATTAGGACTTTGCATTTTATAATGTTCACTTTCAAAATAAAAGTAAAAAAACAGGACACTGGTCCTTTAAAGTGGCAGGACTTCACTTTTATAGAACTGCTATAGACTCACAAGGACTTTTCTAAAATCAGCAGTGAGGAAACACATTAGAAACAACACAGATAATATTTCCATGGTAATAACATAGTAATAACATCACTAAAGGAGAACTAATAGCTTCCTCTTTCCGTGCAGGGACTAAAACTTCACCTTCAACTTAATGTTTCTCACCAATTGAAAATGAACCAATTAAAAATGCTTTTGACAAATTGTTTTTTTTTTTCTTTTCTTTAAATGTTGAGTCTAAAACTCCATATGCTGAATCCCCAGAATTCTTTGCTTCAGCCCCTGTTGACCTATTTTCATTTCCAGTCAAGTCAGCAGAGCTAATATTACCATGTTTAAATCTCTTTTCTTTTTTGTTTTTTTTTCCCTTTTGACAACACAAATCTCTAACCACTGTCCTTGCGATGTTCCCTTTGTGGAATGAGGCCACAGAAACTGTTCCTTTTTTTTTTCTACTGCTGTCCAACTTCTTCCAAAACATTATTTCTAAAACAATAAAATCCCCCATCTTTACACTAATGTTTTAATCTATAAAATTAAGGCAAAATGTCTCTCCACTAAGTAATGTTAAGCTTTAATTGGTGGATTTTACAAACAAATGTTTGAGGTTAATCTTAGACTCAGAGATATTTTTCTCTTTAAAGTGAAACCGTAAAGTTGCTAAATGTCAGGTAATCATCCATGCAGAAAGATGATAAATGCAGATTCTAATGCATACCTATTGACCAGGGCAGGTTCTAGACAAAGGTACATGAGGGGGCATGCAGAAATGTGAAGGGGGCACCTTCATCCATACACATTATGCATTATACACCTTATCCATAACTGTTGGACTTGTGTTTACTTCATGTGGTTGAAATAATAGATAAATAGATAGATAAAAGATGTGTATTAGCCGAGGTGTCAGTTTATGGAGCAATCTTGACAGTGAGAGAAAACAGTTTAAACCTTTTTCTGCATTTAAATTACATTTGAAAATGATGATGAATCAGTACACCATTGCCTAAGCTCATGATTAATTGTTTATCTTTTTATTAACTTTTTTGTGTATTTAAATCTTCTATGCAACGGTCCTCTGAGGTTGGGAGCCAATTTTCTATTTACGTAAATATGGGGAGAATAAAAGGTTTTACTTTTTTATGCTCCTTTTCATTTATGATTTCTCGTAAATGTTACATGAGATATTTATATTTATGACCGAGTGAATGAAATAAATAAATACGCCACATCCAACTTCACAAAAATGGACTGCACTTTCTCAGGCCTCTACCCTAAAACAAGCCTTGTTTGGCTGCCCTGCCTAAAGTAAAACTCCTGCTAGTATAGCTCCTATGGCCACTGAGGCATGCAAATCCTTATTTCAAAGAGAAATTAACGAATAATAAAGTAGGACAATAAGATATTCTTTATCTAAGATTGAACAACCAACACACTATTTATCTTATTGGATGGACATCATGCATTTCAAACGAATTAAGCCTAATAACAACAGAACATTGGTATCAATAGTAAAAAAAACACAAAAACACTTTCTCAAACCGGAATAACAAACAGTAACTTTTCTTTTTGTTTGTTCTGTTTCTTTTAAAGTTTTTTGTAATATTTTTTGTTTTTGTTGTGCTGCCATTCAGTTCAATTTCAGTTGGACAAAACTGGCAGAGATGGTGTTAGGGTTATTATGGTTGATCCTGTCTCTGTACATATGTGATTAAAGTTTCCACTAACACGCTCACATTTGGAAAGGAACAACAAACCATTGATAGGACAGAGAGATGTCATATTTGCTTCTGTTTTTATAGTTAACTATTTAAAAAGTCTCAAAACATAAATATCTATTAAGAATTTCATGGGACTTTTCTGCTTCCTCAAAGTTACCACCTAGTGAGGAAGAACTCTGACATTGTTTGCTCTTCAGGCTCATTTGCATACTGAATGTTGATTGGTCGTTTCTTTAAAGGAAGGGTTTAGGCTCTCAGCTGAGTGAGATGACAGCCTGACAAGAACTTCACTAAAATATACAGTTATTTTTAGCAGGTTTGATTAGATGGGACATTACCCCCTCGTGTCTTAGCATATAACCAGCCTTGCTGTCCACCATCATATCATGACCATTCACAGACCAAAAGTTCTTTTTTTCATTTAGCATGTTTTCCCTTAGAAATCCCCCTCCTCCTGACTTGACCACATATCCATCAAAACATTGTTTGCAATAAATAACAGTGCTCAGTTTCCCACCAGCTGTTACCTTTATGCCAACAGCAGCAGCAGGTCCACCAGGATCCACCGCCTGGATATGACAGGGTCTGCTTCCTCTCACCACAAATCCCCAGCCCACAGCATCACCCACAATCTGCAAAGCAAAACCAAAACAAAGGGTGAAAAAAGGATATTTAACTGTTTTTGATCATGAGCGATGTATAAAGAATCTTAATTATCACATAAGCAGGAACTTTATCTGCTCATAACTAAATATTAACAATGAATGTTTGGATTTTTCAGGATTGTTTATAACGTTGTTTGTGTAAATGGGCCCTTCATACATTCAAGGCAAAAAGACTCTAATTTGAATGCATTATAATATTATGTAAAGCTGTGTGAGTGTTTGTGTGATCATACAGTGAACGTCTTCTTAATAAAAGGCCCTCCTGGTGTCAGCAGCTCCTCTGGAGTCACGTGCCTTTTCACAACTGTTAACAAAGACATATCGATACAAAGCAGTGTCAGACAGAGCTAAACACCTCAACATGATAGATGCATGGATAATATCCATTTCCTGCAAGCTGTAGCATTGTGAATATGGACTGAACATGTAATTCATCTGTTTGAAAACATGTATGTTTGCCTGAGGGTAGAAAATGTGAGAAAAGGTCACATGCTGACACAAGCCTCAAGCATGCTACTTCCTGCTCCTTTAACTTCCCCCAAATTGTTCCACACATCTCCATAACTTTACATGGAACAACTTCTTGTATGAAAATCATTCCTAGACACTAAACAGAGAGGGTAACATTAAAAGATATGTTTTGATGCTTGGAGGCTTTTAGACAAGTTACTGTATTTATTGATACCAATCATTTAAATAAAATTAAATCACTGAATGCTGAGTATTATTTCATTCTATTGTTTTTTGTTGAATCACAGTTAAATGCGCAAAACAATTGATCAAAATTATGGTGCATATCTCCAGCAGTCTATGGTGGAAAGGAGGGGAACACCCTGGACAGGTCAGGTTTAAGACCCACCAGCTAACCTAATTGTCATCTTTTAGGATCGCAGGAGGAAGCTGGAATACCCAGAGAGAACCCATGCCTGTACAGGGAGATCATAACAACTCCAAACAAAAAGACTGGGAATCAAACCCAAGACCCTCATACTACAAGGCAAAAGTGCTCCACACTGCACCGCACGGCTTTTATTTTCTGTTCAAGTTAAAGTACAGAGCTAAAGTATTCACACCTAAGAACTTTCTAACTGTTAGTCACATTAAAACTAAAAGCAACAATGTAGTTTTTCAATAATTTATGTGACAGTCTAACACAAAGCAATGTATGATTCAGAAGGATCTGAAAGGTGTGGCGTGCCCCTTTATTATGACACCCCTGAATAAATTCCAAGGCATCCAAATACCTCCAGAAAGTAGAGTTTTGTGTGAGTTTAGCAGCATAAATACAACACACAGCAGACAGGTCTGAGATGAAGTTGAGGCTCAGTTTAATGAGCAAGATCATGAAATCTAGCAGCCAAGCTGACCGTGGGAACTCTAGAGGAGGTGCAGAAGTCCAAAGCTTACGTAAGAGAATCTGTTGATAGGCACAACTATTAGTTGTGTCCTCCTTGCATACCAGTCTTAGAAGCTTTGTTGGGTTTAAAAAAATAATATTTGATTTGATTTACACAACAGAATGACATGAAAATATGAAAACATGTTTTTAGATCTACTTTTCTTATGAGTTTCGAAATTGTTTTACAATTACAATTATTATTTTAATTTTTTTTTACATCAAATAATATCCTACGGAGAAAAATCTGGTTTATCTTTATTAAATGTTTTATAGTTGACCTTATTTTAAAGGCAAATACACAAATAAACATTTGGTTGTATAAAATGGAAACAGATTTCCTATAGCAGATATTGAACAAAGATAATACGTTTTTTTGTCTGTTTGTTTTTTAATAAGGTCACAATCTGTCAACAAAGCTTCAATATTTGCGGCTCTTAGCAACTTTAATGAGTCAGACTCAAGGCAAAACACGCTGTTTGGATTTTATTGGTTGCAGACCCCTGGCCTACAGCCTTGGATGAGACGCAGCAAATACAAGAGAAAAGGTGCTCTGGTCATACAAGACCAGAACTGCATCTTTAATGCTGTGTTGTTGAAATGTTGGAGGGACATTTTTTGTCTCATTTTACTGTTTTTTTTTTAATGTATTGTTTAATTCTTACAAACAGAAAAATACTTTAGTTAGATTTTCTATTTGATTAAATTTAAAAGCAGAGAAGAAACTATAAACTGTATAAGTACAATCCCCTGGTTGGGACAGAATATAACAAACGACAACAGATTAAATATTGGGCTGGACGGTGGCTCTATGTCTTCCTACCAGATTTGGGGTTGCAGAGAACCGGCGGGCTGCTGCTGAGCGTCGGACTGCTGCTGTAGTACCCACTGCTGCCACAGCTGCTGCTCATGCTGCTTCGGCGAATCCCAACAGCCACCTTGATCTCTTTAGTGGGACTCACTAACACAAAAAAACTCCAACTTATTTTAAATGTCAGGGTTATAAGGAATGAAAACATGAAGCAAACAATGCACACATTTAACTTTGCTTGTCACATGCAGCAACATAAAAAAAATTATCAAAATAAAATCAAGGGGCAATCCACAAATCTGGAATTTAGAAAAAAAAACAAATAATCAAAACAACCAAATCCAAAGTCTGTTTCTTAACAACCTATATTACCCTTTAATTACATCACGTTGTGAAAAGGTTAAGATGACTCCAATGAATATGTCAAACTGACATCCCGTCTTCAAACTTTCACAGCTTTTGCAATTTACTAAAACACTATTAAATAGAAAAGATAAAAGAAGAACTCCTTGGTCACAGACCATATCATACAATACAGGACGGAAAATCCAAACAAATATCCCTACAAATTATACCTTAAAATGTAGGGGTTAAAGTCAGTTTACTGTGTTATACTACATAGCAACACAAACAGGACTCCTCTGTTATCTTCATAAAACCATGGACACCAGAATTTGTGAGTGGGAGTGTGCCTCTGTTCTGGTATCTGAGTCAACAGGAGATAAGCCAAATTAGGTAAATATGTCACTGTTTACAACAGAGATAGGAGTAATTTCCAACCTTTAGAGCTTGATTACTGCTTTAATATGGACATAAACAAACTTCTTCCTCATTTATAGCTTCCCAGCAAAGGTGTTGACATCTTTATGTCAACAGATCCTCCCGGAGAAGTGGTAAAACAGGTATGGGTGATACTCGGTGGGACGTGCAAAGACTTGAAATCTGCCGGTACCTGAGAGGAAGCTGGTGTTGCCTCCATCAGACTGCTGTTTACGGAGGCAGAAGGGGCTGTCGTGGCTCTCTGCGATGGTGCGGCTACGTTCCTGCAGGAGCTCAATCAACCGCCGGCGACGGCGGAAGTTCATCCGGTACTGGTAGAGGAGAGGCCCGTTGACAAAGTGATGCTTGTTGGTCACTGAAAGAGGGAACAAGCGGACAAATGAGATGATAAGTTTAAAGAGTAAAAAGATGAATATCGAAGTAAGGAATACGTCCATGACATTTCTTTGCCCTGATGTTAATAGTTAAGTTTAAAAAGAAATATGATCAATGCAAGTCGATATCAGCACTCTAAGAAAAACACTATCAACCTCAGTTTATCAGACAGGAGCAGCAGTTAGGAATATTCAGCACACACCCCGACACAAAGGGCTTGTCTCCTACATGCATCTGTCTTAATGTTTGGGCTACTACTTTTACTCAGTCAAAACCAGACTTGTCAGACTAATACAATAAACAAAACACTCATTTTTAGGCTTTTATGTAAAACCCTGTCAAGGTTGAATATTTAGACTCAACACTGTGCCCTGATGATACATTTGGAATTTTTTAGATTAACGTGAGCCCTTTAAACCAAGGAGCAAACGACTGCCTTTTTCCTTTATGGTGAAATCAAGACAATAAACAGTATATTTGTACAAATCCTATGGTTTGTTTAATGACGGAACCTAAAAAAAGCAGCAACATGTTGAACTTTTATGCACAAGCCCCTGTAAAAATGTAAGCTATCACTAAAAACTTAAAAAAGCAAATAAAAAAACGTGCTCACCCCTTTGCATGGTGGGAAGAAAAATTTTTTGTCTTTGAGTGTTTCAAGATGATTATTTTACTATTGCTTAGATTTTACTAATTTCTTAAACATGCCTTATATTTTACGCATATAAAAAAAGACCAAAAACTATTTTATCAAGATAAAACGCAAAAACATACACCAAGCATCCATCCTGAGAGTGCTTAGATAGTGCCTTTTTTAGCCTAAATAGAATTACAGCACCAGGTGAGATGAGCAGACATAAACAGATGTGTGTGCCATCTGTAGGGACTATCAGAAAGCCAGAGGGAGACAATTGAAGCAGCTACTTCAACTCGACGACCCTGCAATCATTGGTGTTAAAGCAGCATTTTGGCATGATCAAAGACCAATTTATATCAATTAAATAAACCGATCTACAGCTGAAACCACCCTAAAGCCTCCTACTAGAAAATAAAGGGACAAAAAAAATACTAAATGCCAACAGGGACAGAGCATCAGGGTAAGAACCTCTAAATGTATCTACTCATAACGTCATTTGAAAATGGAATGTAGAGACAAAGAACAGCATTATTATCACTAGTTTCTAAATAATGTTTACTAACGCATCCAACACCTCTGCAGTGATATCTGAATGCCTCCTCAGCCTTAGATCCCGTCGCAGTTAACACATTGAAAAGAAACAGAGTTAAAACACAAAGATAGCAAATAATACACCAGCTGGACTTTCTTAGCATTTTTTTTGCAAACAAACTGTCCTACTGGGGTATAAAATCAAAAAATATATCATTCAAAGTGACTATGCGCCTTGAAAGAGTAGCTAATGAACACACCACTGTAGAATTAAGTTACTGATTACTCACATTATTTATTTATAACCATATATGAGTTGTATGAATTGTGTTGCACCACAGATTGTGAGTAATTTTGTTTTTTCTTTGTGTTTAACTGAATTAGAGGTTTGATTTTTTTCCCCCTGTATTTCAGTGTGAAATAATCCTGCTCCAACAAAAAAATAACTTCATTTGACGCTTTTAACAGATATTAACCAGGGATGATTCTGTATCTAGCATGTACATCGTGTACAACCCCACTAAAGGTTTTAAGCAGATGTTTTAAATACAAGTAATAAAAGAATACAACTTTGTAAAGAAACTAAAAAAAAAACATTAAATATATTATTTTAGACATAACTGCATAGTTTATGGGATTCAGGCATCTGATTGTCTGTACATGACATTACCTTTACATAAATAAAAGCTTTTATATTAACCATTTTAGCAAAACTTACCACCTGTTATTTTTAAAGTCTTTGCCAAAGATATTTAATCTTAGCTTCACACAGCGAAGAAAGAAACTATATGTTTCATCTTAAAACCATTAGCATATCTTAAATATTTTGTTACCTCCTCAGATTTAGATAGAAGACTTTGTTCTTTTATTTAGCCCGCATTGCTTTGATATCTTAGTATTGAGTCTTTTTATTCCTCTGTGTCAATGCAGGGATGCTTGAATATTTCAGGAAATTCTTATCATAGGTGTTTAGTCAGATTGCTGTATTTTCCCATGTTTATCCTGTTCAGTTATTTTTTTCTCCTTGTTTCTTTGTAATTTTTTAGTCTTGTCTTGTTACTCTGGTAGAATAGAGACATTTGTTCTTGAACACAAAGTTTTAGGAACAAAAGGTGAAAACATTTCCTTCTTCTGAGAACTCAAGTGTAGAAATTGTTGCTTTGTGCCATGAATGAACACAACAGGGTTCCAGACTATGGAGCCTGGAGTGTTGTTGCATTTTAGAGTGGTATAGAGAGTCTGCAGTTATAAACTATTCGTCTTGTAAGTTACTTTCTTGTTCCCCCCTCCCACCACCTCCTGCATCTTTAACAGTATTGTAAATATAAGTTTTATTCATTTAAATCAAAACTGCCTCCTTCCTGTCTTTGATTGGGTCCTACAACTCAGAAAAACCCTAGGAACATGCATTCATCATGGTAGAAATGGTGTGCTAATCTGGTAAAATTAGCCCCATCAAATGCTGGTGCTTTATTGTGCATTTTGTCCTCATCACTAAATATGAAGGCAGGTTTCTCTTTGATAGCATACTGTATAAAACAAAACATAGACTTTTAGTCTTTGATTTTTATAAACATGTTTCAATATCTTAACAACCATCCACTGCCTAAAGGTGGGTATGTATGTGTTGCTAGCACATGCACCCCAATGCCTACTAACCTCTTTGTGCAAGGGACACATTCATGACACTATTTTTGAAATTTTAGGATTTTTCGTTTCCATGCTTGTTGTGATAATTCTGCAGCAAAGAAGAACACAAAGCATGTTACAGTTTGCAGCCAAAGGCATCACATTAATCTACTAATAAAGGTGTAAATTCGGGGTAGAACTGAAGAGATTGCAGGCTTGCATTTGGTCAGAATGGTCAGCCATGAGTGTCTTCAGTGAAAGATTTCTACAGAGAGACAGCTACAGAAGATCCATCCTGACTACAGTTACATCTACAACTTGCTGAAACAAAAACTATGAGGTCTAACATTTATTTTCCCTTTGGGATCAATAAAGTATTTTTGAACTGACTTGAATTCTCTGATGACCAATTAACATTATAAATAAAGGTTTCCACTACTGCTAAACAGCTGCAACCATAAAAAAAAATCACATTGTGTTCTTTACGAACAGCCTAAAAACTCTCTGAGACCTACCTAGATCCTCAGCTCTGCCTGGTGTTTAATGTCATGGTTATGGTTAGTCTCATGTTCAAGGATGCTGAGATAAGATGGACCACTGCCTCTGTGTTGCAGTGTGTTAGTGCTGTGTTGTCACATTCCTCTGCCCTCAAGACACTTAGCTCTACTAAGAAGCTACAGGACAGGAAGTGAGTCAGAGAAGAGAGAACAGATGGGAAGACAAGAAGGAGCATAAGCAATGTTTTCACATGATGTAGCATCGCTGCATTATTATGCCTAGGACCTGAGGGCGACCCAATGGCAAAATGAAATGCTATCTACATATCAAATCAACTAATTTTTCAGAATCCTAATAATTTATAAAGAAGCATGCTTCTTGCAAACAGGCAAGAACCGATTTAACTTGTTAGATTTCAGTTTCAATCACTGAGCGCCCAACTACAGTAACAGCCCATTGATTATTGATCATTATACTATTTTAATGCATCTAGGTAAAAGTGCTTATTGGGCCAGAATCTTATAGATATGTCATAAAGCTTTGGTTCAAGTGCCAGATATGGCAAATTGTGGAAGAGATTGTTTTACAATATAAACTCAAACAAATAATATGAGACTCAGAACTAAAAAAAAAAAAGAGCCATAAAGGTGATTGCTTCCAGTACATCTGAGTTTGATCTCAGTGGAGAAAACCACGAGGAACTCAAAGTATGAGCCAGGAATAAGTGCCAATCTTGAAATCCATTTACTTCTAGACATAGAATTTAGATCTGGAAACTACTGCATGTTTTACTGAACCTACAATTTGCTGTAGTGGTATTTTCAAACAGAGAAACAGAGAGATAAAGCAAAGTAGAATTTGCAGTACTGCAGCATGCAATTTGTCTCAACTTTGATGGTTTAAACTAGCAATAGTACGGAGCCCCTAAAGGGACATGGATGGGAAAAAAAGAACTTTTGCGAGATCCCGCAATAGTTTTGTAAGATCCCGCAATAGTTTTGCAAGATCCCGCAATAGTTTTGCAAGATCTCGCAAAAGTTTTAGGCTTTAGGGGCTCAGTAGAAAACCTTTTGCAACATTTCACAAAACGTTTTGTGAGATCTTGCAAAAGTATATTTTTTGCGAGATCTCGCAAAAGTATTGCGGGATCTCACAAAAGTTTCTTTTTTCCTCCATGTCCCTTAAGGGGCTCCGTAAACTATCTGTGTTATGTAGTTTATTTGTTTTAATCCAAGTGGTCTGATTGTTGAATAATTTAAAATATTACATATGACAGCCTTCTGGATTTTTAAACAAAAAAGATAAGAAGATTGAGAAATCTCTTAACCACCTTATATTTTAACTTCACAAGACCTTTCAGCTCACTTTACCTCAGTAAAGACTGGGTGCAAAAAGGTGCATTTCTTTTCATCTAACATTTTTCTCTTCTAACTTTATATAACAAACAATATCTCGTCCCCTTTTCTCTGTCAATATATTCGCACTTTGAAATTTTGGTGGTGCTTGGTATAGGAAACCTGAGAGACCAGACCTAAACCTGACAGCACGTGTAGCTTTTTTAATCAGTCATGAACAAAGATTTTTACATGTTTTATTTCTTCTTGTCCTTTAGGAGTAAAAGGGATTAAAAGCAGTACAGGGAACTAGTAAGGAGCAAAGGCCTCTTTTTGTTTTCCTGTATTTGGATGAAAAAAATGAAGGAACAATTATGCAAGAGGTTAAATCCCCCAAAGTGTTGCAGCACTGTATCTATACTGCACACAGCAGGACCTGACTGTAACTGAATCTCCAGGCATGAAGAAAGTTAACAGGGGAGGTGTGGGTATAAGAAAACATATCAGTACGACTTAACGATAGATTTGCAGCATTAAAAAAGTGGGAAAAACTTTTAAGACAAAGAAAAAAGAATGAAAGGAAAAGAGAAGTTCATTTTAGACATAGAACATTAATTTCCTGCTGCAATAGTGATCTACTTAGATGGCATCTGCAAATCAAATTTTCTTTCATTTGATGCTCTGAGAGAAAAACATGAAAGTTATCGGCTAACAGAAAATGAAATGTGAATACTCCCACTTGGACTGTATGAATGGAGCTTAAAGAGCTAGGAGACAGACACCAACTATCACCCAAACCCTGACTAGAACATGTTGTAAGGCTGTCTCTGAAGCCTTATAGACAGACAAATTTAAAACCTATTGCTACACTTTAGCAAAAAAAGGAAAACAATATGTCACTATCAAAGCAGTAAGCACCTCAACACAAAGTGCAATATTGAGTTTGATTTTAAGTATTTACAATTTGCTAACTCAAGATGAACAACGACACGATTTTAATTTCCACTGTTTCTCCCTATTAATGAGCCAATAATGAAAAATGAGCATATATCTGATAACTGCTTTTATTATTTAAGCTCTAACTTTGCAGGTTTACTTTGTACTCAAAGCTTTTAAGTTGAAAGTCTTTCAAGAATTTTTGAACAAAAAAAATAACGGAAAAGTAGGAAAGGAGAAAAGGTTTCTAGTTGAGTGACCATGATCTAACTTTTTATTTAGAATATGAACTCAAATTTGATGACGACAGCCTGAAACTCAAACTTGTTTGGTTACAGTGAAATATGGTAATTTAATGCTCAGCCACAATACTTTATTAGAAAGCATTTTCTTCTTCTTATTTGTTGTTGTAGTATTTTTTTCTATACTGCTACTTTAATACACAGCTGTATTATACCTTAAATTGCATTTTAAATTGCACCTGGTTTATTTCATTATACCTTCAATTGCATTTTGAGCATTATTTGAAATTCTTACGTCAGAATTCTTTACAGTGCACAAATACTGTCTGTATGTACCGCCCTATCGTCTGAACATGGCATCTTTGCTAACACGGCCTAAAAGAAGCCCCCCTCACTTCGCTTTCCTTTCCTCAAAGGTTTTCTCTATGTAATTCTTCTTTAAAGGTAAGCCTCCCCCAAACAGGTCAGGTTAATTATAGGACCTCCAACATTACACCTTGAAATGTGATCTTGGCCAGTGTGAGATAAAAACTGGGTTTGTTCCAACTACAGTAAGTTGACTCCAAAATGAGCAGAACCGAGCACTAGAAATATCAACATATTTGCTATTTCTTTATCTTTTCTTTTTTGTTTTAATAAAATATTCATTTCAGGAACTATCTATAAACTGTGTTTGTCAAATAAAAAAGACTTCTAAAGATTTAGAGACTAATCGTGTGCATCCTTTATTTTTTACAATCCTTATTCAATATAATTTTTTTCAACAACCACCAGAATATGCTTTCAAGGAAAAAGTGTAACTCAGATATATTTTGTCTCCATATTGATGTGAAGTGGCTCTAACAGCAGATGACTCAGATATGAGGGGGTGACTGAATAATGGAGTACCACCCTTTCTACCATTGAGTGTCTTTTACACATCATCAATATTTTAAAAGCAAGCCTCAGGCATGTCTGAGTTTTAACCCCAGAGATGAAGCCCTTAAAGCCAGATGAAAGAGAGCAGTGTTGCGTAGTTACTATATAGTCACTATTTGGGAGTAGCCAGCTTTCCACAGGATTTTTTTGGTCTTTCAAAATCTAATTCAATTGGTCCCTTAAAAACAGATTATGGATAAATATATTGAACCAGAGTCCTATAGATCAGGGTGATTATCACTCTTCTCACCATGCTGAATGATGCCATGTTCGAGCAGCCTCCGTCCCAGCTGCTCGGCCTCTTCCCTGGTGGGCACCTCCCCCTCCTGCAGGAGCCAGTCAATGAACTCTGAAGCAACCAGGGTCCGCTCAAAGGCCACACCCTCCTCTTCTCTAGTCTGCATCAAGTTGTTCTCTGTGTTCATCAACCTATATGAGAAAGAAAAAAAACGAGAAAACCAATGCAACATGTGAAATAAAACACATGAGGTCATCTAAACTTCAACAGTACATTATTATCTCCATTTCAGCAAAAGAAATAGAGGATTAGGATTAGGAATCCTTCACTAAACTTAACTAAGACTCATTTTCCTGATTTCACACACACTGTGAGTTTATTAAGCTGCTCCAGTAAAGTAACAACAGATTTCCCTGGACACTACACTCTGGGTTTAGACAGCCGCTCCATCACTTTAATATAGAAACAGTACTGCAACCTCTCACCTGAGCAACATGACTCATACCACAGGTGCATTTTTCCTTGGGTTTGCTCTCTGGACCTCTGCTCGGATGAGCCTTAAAACTCATTAGTTCTGCTAGGGGGCTGTGGTTAATCTTTGTGAAGTTAGAATTGCTGTAGAGCAGGTCCTATAGGCATAATTTAGAGGCTGTGATCTTTCTAACTTGCTATAGACCAGTTGTTCTTAACCTTTTTTTGATCTGCCCCTTTTTTAGCTACCCCCATTTCCCCTAAACAGCCTTTACAATAGATGAACAGAGAAACACCAGCTGCAGTAGATAATTGTAGTACATTAATCTACTTTATATCTCAAAACTACTGTGTAATTATTTTCTGGTCTTAACAGTTTAAAAGTATTCAGAATTGCTATCAATACTTAAAAAAAAAGAAAAACTATAATTATATCTTCAAATCATTTCTACCATGTACTCTCTACAATAACACTGGGCTTCTCCAGGGGGCGAGTCCCATTTTGCTGACCAATGAGGTACACTTACTAAAATAAAACTTAAACTAAGTTAAATCCAGGTGGTAAATCTAATCTAAATAAACAACTTTGAACTAAACCTGTCTAAAAATATAAGAAATCTGATCTTTATACAATTAGAACCCTTAAAAAGAAAAACTACATGTAAAGGCTAAAATAACAGAGACCTTAGATAAGATGTGCTGAAGTAAAACAAGATACAAAATTTTCTTAAGATGCACTAAACTAAAACAGGATCATTTCTGAACTTAAAACAACTAAATTCATTTTTTCTCTAGAAGCTCTAGATTAAAAATTATTTTTCATGCATTAGTGTTCATGGCTGAGGTGGTGCTGAGGGCTTTCTGAACTCCGCTAGGCCACACATGAAGAAAGTTCAAACCAGAAAAGCATCATTAGTAACTCCATTAATTACTTGCTGTAAGCCTTCATCGCCAAATACAACATTATTGTGCTTCCCTTCAGAGAAAAGGCCCATGCAAAAACAATATACTAAAAGATTAAAATCATGTGAGCTCAATTAAAATAATGGCTTCAATATATGGTTCAAAACACGGGGGACCATTTCTTTTGCCGTTTGGCCAAAATAAATAGATAAATATAATTATGCAATCCCTCTTGGTTTTGTTTTGTTTCTTTTTATTTTATTTATTTAGTTTTGTATGTTTACCTAATGGGTGGATTGCTTTAGGTAGAACTAGATGTTCTGGTTTGAACTGCTTAATCAACATATTAATCTAAAAATAAACAGGTACACACCTGGAAAAAGTTGAACAATACTTTAACTTCTAAATACATACCAAACTGGTAGATCATGTCATAGATCAAGCTGTGGGGGAATATTCTTAGGAACACTTAATGGCATCTAATTAAAAATAATTAGAGCAAGAAGGCTGCAGGGAAAATATAAACTTATAGTAACAACCAAATAGGAAAGACTCAACAGACTTAGAGTAGGCAGTTCTTTTTGTCGGTCTGACAGATGATATTTAAAGGCATCAGTTTAATTAGAGAAGAAAATAAATTAACCTAGAACTGGAGTCTCCTTTGGTGTTTTGACTAAAAAAAAAATGAAACAGAAAAGAGGAATGGGCGACTTAAAACAGAGACGTTAATTACCTTTAAATGAGATGGTTATTTTTTATACTGGTTTTCAGAATCGACAAGTGACATACTGTTTATTAGAGCATTAAGTAAAATAGCTAATTAAACCAAGCAGAAAACATATTTATCAACCAGAAAAAAACATACCCGTGGTTATCTGAAAGTTTTGCATCAATCAGTGAACGCAGTAGGCAGGTTTTAGCTTAGGGAATGGACTTAATAAACTCAAAGAAGGTCAGCTTCTATGTTGATTGGACTGAGTGGAATCTTAATGAATCCAATTTAAACCAATGAAACCATTATCAGGTGCAGCAAAAAGCCTTTTTTTAAAAACACTTCAATTTACCACAGGCACTTAGCTGCACCCTCTCACTTTGGTTCGATCCATTGTCTAATAGTAGTCCAGGGAAAGCTTAGAGGCACCAATGACAAAAAAAAAACACCAATGCCCTCATTAAACACTGCCTAGGGGAAAAAAACTTGGAGCCAAAGCAAAGAACAAAACAACAAAATGAGAAAACAGAGCTGGAAAACTTTCAGGGTTTTACATAAACAGTTACTATAACCCATACATGTAACAAACCAAATACTTATTTTCCCTAATGTCAAAAAACAAAGAGCTGTTGTGCATAACATGAAACCTGAATGATTGAATGCCATCTGATCCACTTAAACCTTTAAACTCAATAGACTGAGCTGAGCTAACACAAATGCATTAACTCAAAGTTCTGTACTCGGTGCTTTAAATGAGAACAGCTTAAGCAATGCAATGCATTATTCATATCTGAGACCTTAAATACAGAGCAAATACTGTGTATGAATGGAGCATGATAACAAAAAATAGGACAGTTGAGCAACTAACCTGGAGATACACAGGATCTCACTCTTCATGGCTAACTCTGCCTGAGTGGAACTCAGAAGAAATATATGATGAGACCTCAGCCAAGCAAAAATTGAAAACAATACCAATATACTATAGTATAGGTTGACTGAGGGGGCAGCTGAAAGCAAGTTACTGAGACCTCAAAAGTGTAATGATGAAGACAATATTTCGTTGTGGGCAATGCACCTGGTTTACTTCACCGTGGTGGGAGTACACCAGTAAAAAAAAAAAAAAAATTAACAAGGTTTTATCCTTAGAAACATGCATAACAGGTATACCTTTAAATCTAGGTACGATCAGATTTGTAAAACCCATAAAGGACAGGAGGCTAGGCTTTATTTCTGAGTGTTATAGTTTTGATCTAAGAAATTTTATATGTCTTTTTAGGACAATTTAGAATTTTTAACTGATGAAAGGAGGTATTAAGTGTATCAGTGGATTTTTGTTATGTTGTTTAGCTCAGTGGTACTGTTGCTCTATTGTCAGAATGATAATATACAAGAAAGATTAATACTTCCAGCATGCAGGAGGTGGTAAACAATAGGGACCCTAGCTAAATTAACATCTCTGTTGGATAAAGTCTCCCACCCCATGCATAAAGCTGTTGCTGAACTGGAAAGCTCCTTCATTGACAGACTGCTGCATCCTAAATGCACCAGGTAGAGTTATCACAGATCCTTCCTCCAAGCAGTTGTAAGACTTTATAACCATCACTGTTCCCAACAACCTCAATAATTTGTTACATTCATGCAGATGTTCTGTCTTATTTTACTTATATCCATAGTTTCTTTTCACACTTAAATCAGAATCAGAATCAAATTTATTGCCAAGTAGATTTGCATTTACAGGGAATTTGACTTGGTGTTGATGGTGCAGTCAAATTAGATATATATACAGAATACAGAATCTATAGCTATATACAATATAAAACATGCCATATACTACATACAATATATAGTATATAGTTTTATAGTAGACTGTGTGTTAATGTTTCTGTAGATGCTACTTTGGTGCAGCTTCTGGGTCCTGAACGGAGAAGGGAGAAGCAGTGTCAGTGTCACTGAGGCCTCTGGGCCTTGTTGATAAGGCTGGTAGTGGATGGGAAGAAACTGTTCTTGTGGTGTGAGGTTTTGGTCCTGATGGACCGCAGCATCCTGCCAGAGGGAAGTGTCTGAAATAGTTTGTGGCTGGGTTGCAAGAGATCAACCACAATCTCCCCTGCACGCCTCAGAGTCCTGGAGGCTACAGATTTGTGTATGAGATGGTGATGAAGGAGGTGAGGTAAAGCAGTGTTAGAAACCACATCTTCCCCCTCTGGATTTGCCAGAATCTTTTTGGGGTTAACCTATAATCATTCGCCACGGTCTCTCCAAACTCCTTTAAGTCCTGGGTTCCTGCCTCTGCAGCCACCTGTGGAAGTGGTATGCTTTGCCTCTTAGGACCTGCTTGCAGCTTCAGGAGGCCCACTATGTTAATGGTTAAAGTTTAGAAATGACAGCACTGCGTACTGTTGCATACCACTCCACTTAAAGCATTGTGCAATGGACCAGCAAACAATAAAAAACATAAATAATACTAATTATAGTACATAGGAGGGAACTTTCCTTAGACACTGTCAAATAAATCCAGTCAAACCAACTGCATTTAGAATTCCCCTAATTTAGTAAAAAAAATAATATCTCAGTATAGATCCATATTTTCTGTGAATACATAAAATTTTGTAATTGAACATTAGTGAACAAACAGCACAATTATTCTTGCACACAAAACACATTTTATCTATACAAAGTCTTCCCACATTCCTCTGTCCTGTACCACACAACAAAGGGCCTCTATTCTCTGGAAGAGATCCAGATAAAGTTGTGTCAGATCTTTGAGTCTAAACTAATCTGATCTTTCTTACTTGAACATTTCTATGTTTGGTACAAAAATATCCATAGAACGCTGTCCTTTCTCTATACTTTTAGAATTATATCCTCAGTTTTCACCAGTAACCAGTAATTTCAGGCAAACACAGTTTCCAGTTTGCGGCGGAAAACTTCTGCCTCCATCGGTGCAGCATGTCAGTGAGTTTGGGTTCCTGAGGTTAGCAAGGCCCCAGAGTAAATTGCAGCTTGAGGAATGAAAGACATTCTTTTTTTAAAGGATGCATTTGTACTTTTTTCTTAGCTGTAACAACTGCTAAACAGTACAGAAACAAAAAAAAAGAAAATGATGGTATTGTAGTTTTATTGCCACTGATGCAACTAGTGGCCCAACACATGCAACAAAATAATCTAATGCACAAAAAAAGTTAAACTGTAAAGGCCAGATAATGGGTAATTCAACCACAAAATGTCACAGTATCCTTTTCTCTGGGTCATTCTTGTATAAAGATAAATCACAGTCTCATCTGCTCATACTAGTTATATCATTTCAAGTTGGAAGTGCACTGTTTATGCTGCTTTGACAGTTTGCAGAAAAAGAGATTAATGCACGCCTAAGGAGTACCGTTTATTTCTCCATTGGGAAAACTAGATGTTTAAGTGTTGGGTGGAACTGGTACTTAATGCTGCATAACAAACTGTAAGCTCAAGTAGTTTACATACCATGGGTAGCACACTGAGAATGTTTGCAGCTACAGAAACCTGACGTTCAAAATAATATTATCCTTGGTATCACACTTCTGTTTTAAGATTCCCATGCTGTCTTATGAGCAGACTGGTCTAGTTTACAGGGTATTTAACGTGATTAACAATGGCTACTGTTCTAACTGGGACAATTCCAAACATCTAAGAAAATAGATGGTTAAAGATCCACAACAAGCAAGTTGTGTTTCTCTATGTTGCAGAGCTTAATGTGCTGCCTTGAATCCTTTGATTACTGTTAGTCATTATGATATACTTCTAAATTTCTTTACTAATACGAACAAAAGTGTGGACTCTAATAAAAACTTAAATTTCCCATCAACAAAATCAAAGTGGGTCTTTTAGGCTGGGAGGGGGTGAGAGAGAGCAATACTTAAGTAGATACTGGAAGGCTTTGTTGAATTTGCATTTTTTTCAAAATCTCACAGTCAAGGTTAAGGGCCTGACTTCTCTTGGGAAAACAGACAGAGAATACAACTAAAAATATGAATTAAGAACACCCTGAATACCAAAATGACAGAGCAATATGGTTTGTACTTAAATGTTAAAAACTGAAGTTTTTTTTTCCATGTTTAACTGTGCATTTAGGGTTTAAATTAGTGTGCTGAACCATGGTGATTGCATAAACACATAGCTTAAAGAGCTGACTTGACAGCTGCATCCTCCACCCCTGTTTTTCTCTTACACAATGGCTGTATGGTTGTGTATATATGTATGTGTATTCCCTGAGGCACTGAAATCAAAAACAGGACTGGGATTAAAAATATGTGCCACCTGATTTAGAGGCACAGAAACAAAGTTTTCTTGTATTCCTCATTATCAACAATCAAAACTTTGACACATACAAAGCTGATGACAAGCAAGTAATCCCTGTTCATGGTTTCCTGAAAACAAAGCTCATGTGTGGACAGAAACCCATGACTCATCACTCTGTTAAAATATGTTTCCAGTCATTTCTCTCTCTCCTCAAATTTGCAGGCTTTCAGCAGAGGCAAGCTCAACTCTTCATGCCCTCATTTAATGGAAGCCATTTACCAGCAGAACAAATTTTCAGAAATGCATGAAACATGTTGTTTAATCCTGATGTACTCAGTGTACATAGCAGCAACTACCGGCAGGGTAGATGATAACAAAATAAAAGAAAAAATAGAAAGCAAGGGATTTAAGCTCCCTTTAATCTGAGTATCTGCAAGGAGAAAACTTGCATCCCAGAGCTTTGGGTTGGGTGATTCTCAGACATCGAATTGGGGTACCTATTACTGCATTTATAAAAGACCAATTTAGGGAGTTGCTGAACCTGTTGTACCTTTTGGTCGTCTACTGGCCGTGATTTTGTGAAAGGTTGCATTTTGCATTTTCATGCACCATTTTAATTGAGTTTGAGTTCTCCATTTTATATTACCTTTATTATAAAGTTAGTGGGAGGTAATAATTGCTGATTCAGCTTCCTGTTTTTCTGGGTCATATGTTGTACTGTTGGATATAACTGAGTAGAAAGCAGAAAAAAACACTATTCCTTAAAGAATGGGCCTTAAGGGTGTTATTTTATATGATATTCTACAATTATTGACATGATTGTTATTGCTTAATTTTGCAAATTGGGCCTAAATCTGTTTTAGGGCTACTCTGTATGAGCTGACAGGCAGCAAGTATAGTTGAATTTTCCTATTGGTTAAAACAGTAAAGCTTACATGTCTACCTCACAACACCATGTTCTGGTAAAGTGGGGTGTTTGAGTGACATAATCTCTGCCTTAATAGCATTCTGTTTTCATGTTTGTAGATGCTCGTATTTTCCATTGTTCATTTATGGTCACTACTGCCACTATTGCAACCAAAACATTTGTCTAAGTGTTATTCTGACTGTCAGGTACAACTGGAACATAGCATAAACCTTCTCATTCAGATACACTTCCCCTTGACTAATATGGAGTTGAAATTGCTAGAATTGGGAGCATTAATTTATAGGTTTTCAGATCAATATTTTAAATTATTAGTGAGCTTATTGTTTTAATTTAGGTAGTTGGATTATTTAGTTATATCAAATCCTCCAATTCCCCTCATCCTAGCCACACCACTCTGCTCATCCCCACACTAAGTGGCTTTTTTTTTTTTCTATTTGCCCGTTGAATAATTTTGCTTTAACTTTTTTTTTTATGTTCATGAAGCAGTCAATTGCAACAAATGTTGCACAGTCCTGCACAAATGGGGACATCTGGTCACCTAAGAATATGTTAACTGGAGCATGTTTACTGTAAAGATGGGATACTTTGCAAATAATTGTAATATGATTAAAAGAGAAGGTGTTTATTCTTTATATGTGCAAGGTATGTGCTGATAGAACAGCAATGCTTGAAATCACTCCTTTGTTCTTTGGAAAATAATGCTCTTTCAGCTTATTTCAGTTGAAGATACAGAACAAAAAATGACCTAGAAGTAGATTGCCTGTCAATCATTCATAATCACATACAGTAGCTACTTACGGTAATACAAAACAAGGCCATTACTTCCAAATAAACAGTATAGACAAGTCAAAGCTTTCAAATAACAAGAGATTGGAACACAACTCTGATCTTTGCATTTGTACTTTCTAGCACTTCAAATACCCTTATTTATGCAACCATTGTCACAATATTCTTCAATTACATAATATATCCTCTTTGAATTAAATACATTTTAAACAAACTATGTCATTAACCCTGTGTGCAATATTGAGCTTAATCTTGACTGTTGTGAAAAGGTTCCACTTGCTGCATATTAGGCAGATATATATATAGATTTCATTTATCCTAAAACCTGTTAATAATGAAATAGGAGTTGTTTTTTTTAGAACATTTACATAACAGCCCTATGCTGAAAATATCATGGTTGTCTTATTCAGTCTCCATCCTTTAAGGCTGCATTAGCATGTACATGTGTTCCCAATGTCGGTTCTGTGTTTGTCTTACTTTTCATATATCCTTTGCCCCCTCATGAAGACCTTTGCTTCACTATCCAGTGGGAATGTGCCGTCGTCCTTTCTGAAGCGATACAACAGCTTCATGTCTTTGAACTCCCGGTGTTCATCACACACTAGAAATGCACAGTGGAGTAGAAACTTCAGTTACAGTCTCAGCACTTTGCTGGCAAAAAATAAATAAAAATTATCACTGTAAATAACTGTAGACTAACAAAAAGCTACAAATGAATAAATAACATTAATTCCAAATGTAATCAAGAGGAGAAAAAGACAGACGGACGTGTTCATTCATTAGTCGAATTAAGATTGGTTAACATTGAGGGATATTTGGCTGTCCTTATAAAACCGAGGTTTTCAAAGTGGTGGCATCTTTGTTTATAACTCAGGGCTTCTTTCCTGTACAGTAAGTGAAATTACTAATATAACCAGACAACTTGAAATGCCAGCAACAATTCATGTTTCCAAATAGAATGAGGGTCTATAATCAGCCCATGGAGGATATACGGTAGGAAAATGAGGTATCCCCTAACTCATTTCTTTTTAAGGGTAGTTTAAACCGGGCTTTCCATGAGGCACACATATTTCCTCTAGAACGTTTTGGGCCAAAGAAGCATCCTGATTATATTCCAGCTGGCTCCCTGGAATATAAAATGACCTGTAAATCCAGACATATGCTTGTCTTTACCACAAATTACACACAAATTATTGCAGATGAGGCTCCAGTAGGCCTACCAAATTCCCAATCCATCCGCCCATTACCCTTGAACAAAACACAGAGACACATTAACTCCTCACATTACAGCCCAGAGTCCCCCCTAGATTGGCATGTGTTTGCGGTGCAAAAGGATATAATCTAAAGAAATAGTGCAGAGAGAAGACAGTCTAGTCCAGCTTTTTGAAGACGATGAGTTTCTATGTGCATCTTAAAGCCAGGAACCTCCGCAGGTTTCACGTCAGTATTCTGGACATACAGGGAACTGGCTCTAACCTCACATGAAAGAAATGGGACACTGCTCTGGTCTATCACTGTGAAGATTTAGCTAAGCCAAATATGATATGGATCAAAACCTACAAATAAGGAAATAGACCACTGAAATGTACTTTTCTCCTGGGATGAAGATGGCTTTTCTTTATAAAGCTGGTAAAAGAAAACTGATGAGCTCAGGGATGACCTGAGGTTCCTCCACATCACAATAAGTCAGTTGATCAGGATGCCTCATGGTTCCCTTTGGAGGTTTTCATAGGAGGCACATAGGGGAAGGATAACCTCTGGATGACATAAAACTCACTTGAAGGACTAAATTTTTCTTCTAGCATGGGAATGTCTTGGAAAACCATGGTATACGCTAGAGTGCCCCTGGGTAACAGGATCTCTTGGAATTCCTCCTTACCTCAATGACACAATCTCATTTACATGAAGGAAATTAGATTGAGACTAGTTAAAATGTCACTTTAAAAAAAAAGGCATGTCTTATTTATTAAACTAAAGGTTAATAATAAAACAGTCCAAAGTAACATCTTTCCATTTCATGTCTCTAGTCCAGAAAAAAATGCAACTCTTTTTAAGAGAGGTTGCCTGGGCAGACGTGGAGAATCATCTACTACCTGCTCCCAGAAAATGT